AACTCTCGTCCTCCTTTTTGCTTGAGTGAAAAAACTTTATTTCAGGTAAATACAATAGTTCATATATATCCTAACTTACTCCAAAACACATATTTTTTAATTTATATCCCAAATTTTGGTATGCATCATCCATCCTTACAAAGCATTCTCAAAGCAATTCAATCATACAACACCAAATATTAATTTAGGTGACCAAGTCACTTTTAAATATCCAAATCATACATCTTTGCCCGAGAAAACTCATGCATAAATCTTGAATCTTAAGTTCAAATTTTTCTAATTTGCATGTAAATGCTCCAAAATACACAAAAAGAAAATTTACTTATTTCTTATTCTGAAAGAATAGAAATGATTTTTTTACTCTAGAAACATTAAGATTTGTTTTAAATTTATGGAAAAAATAAAGAAGTTTACAAGAAAATTTAGAGGAAAGGAAGAAAACGAAAATTGTAAAAAGATTATTATTATTTTAAATGAATTTTGAATGATTAAATTTCTATTTATAATCTTTTTTACTTATCAAGACATCAAATTCCAATAATCATTACTACTCTTAACTGATTTTGACTAAATTCTTATAGAAAATATTAAAAAAGTTAAATAAAATTTTAAAAAATATTTTTAATTTTAAGATAATATAATTACGAGTTAGGTGTCAAAATAGGTTTAATCCGATAGAGAAGTTCAAAAAATATGAGAAATAAGTCTAGTTAAACAAAAATATTCGTGACTTCAATTAAATTAGACCTATTTTTTTTATCTATTTAAACTATGACTTATATGAACGTAGGTCGGACTAACCCGTAAATGTATGAACTGACGTTTTTAACAAAATAATAATTATTTTTTAAATAAAAATAATATTAATTTTTATATATATATATATATATATATATATATATATATATATATATATATATATATATATATAATAGTAATATGTCTACCTTGTTGAACCAACTTTCATGCGTCAAACCACTAAAGTATTAGTTGTTATGGTCATAAGCTTACCAAACCTCCAAGATATTAGATCATCCCTAATAAATTGTATTTAACTCTAATAATAATCAATAAATTAGATTATATACCGAATCAATGGTTAATATCGGTGTTTATAATAATAATAATTTTATTTTCTTGAGTGTATCTTAAGTAATCATTTCGTTCACCTTAAGTTGAATGCTTTTTAATATGTTCTTTTGCTAAGAAAAATGCTTATCTATCTTACACGAAAGATGAATAAATTCATCAACACTGCCTCAATAAATTCAAACATAAAAACGTTTGTAAATTAGTGCATAATAATACTTGTGTAAATAAAAAAGGAAATATAATAATTTTTATTCTAAAGTTATTTTATAAAATCAATTCGTATTATATTACAATGCTTTCGTAAACATTTTGTTTGGATGCAAATTATTTATTGAAATGGTTTATTATTGTTCTAGTACACTCATGAGTCTTTAAATTAAATTTATCATTTTCTTTTACGTCATTAAGACATCTTTTAAGGATAAAATCGTGACAGACGAGAACTCCAAAGTGGACAATACCTCAAATATAAGAATTGATCCTGATGATGTTATCATAGCATATATGAGACCGGAAAACTCTCGATCCTAGATTTGGGAGTTTATGTTCCGATATACTCATGAGTTCCATATCGTTTAGGAATCGATGACAACCTTAATCACTAATACGTCTTTTAAATCGTGAAGAACGAGAACTCTAAAACAGACAATACCTCAGATATGAGAATTGACACCTCATACATAAGAATTGACTTTATCAATATCATCGTAATAGATAAAAGACCAAAACACTATCTTCCTTAATTAAATCAACCATCAATAATTGAAAGCATCCAAAATAAATAACACCGAAAATTTAAGTTAAGATAAAATTGATATATATATATATATATATATATATATATATATATATTTATTTATTTATTTATCCTTAAATTGACACAATTTAAAACAAGGTAATTTGTGAAGTATGTTATTGGATATTGTATAGTATTTATATATTTAATACAATTATACGGGGTTTTTTTTTTTTTGCATTACTTTGACTTCTATGAATTCAATTGATCACAACGTAAAATATAAGTGTGTTTGTATGGATAAGAAATAGATAACGGCTGCACTTAGATAATTTAAGAGAGATTTATAAGGTTAATAAAAATACATTAAATAAAATTTTATAAAAATGAATTAAGTAAATGTTTAATTAATTTATCCTATAAATTATGTATATAAATAGGTAAATGAATTAGTAAATTATTTTTGAAATTTTCCTTTAAAAATAAATATATATTTTTTGTAACCATGATGTTAACTCTATAAAGAATAAATTATTTTCAATCATATATATAATTTGATTGTATGATTATTAAAACATTTGCATATAAAATACATGATTATTATTTCATGAGTTTGTATTTTTTAATATAAACTATGTTAATTTAACATTTAATAAAATATGGTAAGTAAAATATAACGATTAAATTACAAAGTAATTTTTATTTTATAGAATAATTTCACAAGAAGTTAGCTTATTTACTACTACTCAATATGACAATGTAAATTAATAAATTATTGTTTTTTTTTATAAATTAATAATGCTTAGTGTTTAAAATTTTTATCAAACATGAAAATTTATAATATGTCATGGTATAACGTAACTTGAAAACTAAAAGTTTCACCTCTCTTAAAAAATATATATAATATTTACATGGATAAATCATCCATTAGTTCATATAAATAAATAATTATTTATTTTATTATAGTTAATTTATGAACTTATATTGTATTTAATACAATGTTTTTTTAATCAAACTCAATGTATTAAGAATTTAGGACAAAATTTTCTCTTTTAATTTTTTAAACTAAATAATTTGTAATAGTAACAAAATCTTATCTCTAACAAACAGGTTAGACCACCGTATAAAGGTAAATTTCTAACATTACTGACCAAAGATCAATTGAGAGAAATCTTCGTCAACTTTTACCATTTATATTTTTATTTACATGATTCCAACTAATAGTATAATAAAAATATGTCATTAAATTTATCAATCCACAATTAAGCATCCATATTTTTAATTCAAATATAATGTATACAATTTATGCAACCTATATTCATCTAATGAAATCATAAATAACTAAGTAAACTTATAACTCAATTTAGGTATTTACATAAATTCAAAATAACAAGAGATGATTATGTGAATTGTGATATTTGAATTACAAGTTACTCTTTACTAAAAAGATGAGACATTTTTTAAACATGGAGACTCATCACTTAAATGTTCTAAATGTTATTTAAATGTTTCTTAAGTGAGATCAAAGTTATATAAACTTTTTTTTATTAGTTGTTTTATCTCTAATGATTGTGTGTTTTACTGATATCAATGCAACATAAATTTTCTTTTCTTTGAGAATTTTGTCTTCGAATAATTATTAGTCAATTAAACAAAAAAACTTCATATTTGAACGTTAACTAATTACTTAAGTAAAAACAACTTTTAGAAGGAAGATTTTTCTTATCATATTTGAGTGAGATATACTTTAAGATAAAACTTGCAAAATTTCACAACTTTAATCAAATTTATCTAACATCCCTTAAGTACATTTTAATGTATCTAAAATAGTACCTTCATTTACAAGACTAATTTGACATAAATATTCAAAATTCCATACTAAAACTAATTGGTCATCAAATTCATACTTCATGATAAGACCAATTTGACATAAATATGCAAAAATTCCATACTAAAACTAAGTGGACATCAAATTTATACCTCCTTATCTATCTCATTTCCAATTTTAAAACAAATCACCTTAAATAAACAAAATTCTAAATCAAAACTACAATATCAAGTTGGTTTGATTATCAAAATTACCAACCTCCAAACCACATGCCCATCCATTAAAATCATATATCTTAAAGTTCTATTATAATTTAAACTAATTTTTTATTTAGAAAAATTATATTCTCCAAACATAGAAAATGCTAACACAATAAATTCTAACCTCAAACATAACACATCACCAAAGACCTAAATTAGTATAGATTTAACTTTATACCTCATATGCAATACCCAATACCTGCATGCAAACTAAAGAAAAAAAGAAAATTATCAAAATCAAGAATCTTATGGAATAATGTTGTTCAAAATATAGTAACTCCTATTTTGTGTGTTTAAATCTTAAAAGAAATGAAAAAACATATAAAAATCTAAAAGAACATTTAAAATTCTAAAGAGGAAAAATTAAAATGATAATAATTTTACATAAATAAAAAAAATAATTTTTTATTTATAATTTTCTAAAATTTAATAAAGATATATTCTTTCATCTAATTACATTTTATAAATATATAATAACATACATAACTACAATTCTTATCTTAAACAATTTTGTATGATTAAATTATATAACTCCTCACCATTTATAAGAATATCATCCTATTATTCAAAAACTTAATGATGACTTATGTTAATCAAATTATATCGTAATAAATTATACATGTTTTTTATAATATTAATATATTTTAATTAAATATTATACATGTTTTTTCTCCTACACTTATATTTTAATTTGTATCTTTTATGAATGTCCCAATAAACACGTGTCACTGAGGAAAATAAAATAAACACTTGTCATGATGGTAAAAAGAGATTCAACTATAGAAAAGCACATGCACTTTTTCTCTTTCTTATGCATGCATAAAAATAAATAAATAAATCAACTAGGACTTAGCCATGGAAATTTTAACGAACAGCATGTTATTATGTTCGCGAATCAGATTTCCTGGGAATAATGTGAATTTCCCATTTCTAATGTAATGGCAGTTGCGATAGGGAAACTAAAGCAGAGTGGTATGGTTTAACAAACCGAAAGCGCACCCTTCGTATTCAAACAACACAGAGCCCCAAAGGTACAGCAAAACGGTTTTTTCAGATCCAGAGCCGAACTTCCATTCCCGGGAAAATGGATCGGTTCATAGAAAACTTGCCGCCAATGGATCTGATGCGCTCCGAGAAGATGACCTTCGTGCAGCTCATCATTCCCGCTGAGTCCTCGCACCGCGCCATCACCTATTTGGGCGAACTCGGCCTCCTTCAATTCCGAGACGTAACTCTCTCTCAGATCTATTATCCTTTCATTCAATTCCGTTTGTCATGGCTTCCGTTATTTTTTTTCTATGGAAACGTGTTTATATGCGTTAGCTTTGGTGTTTGTTGCGTTGCTCCAATCGAGTGCGTGAAGGTTTGGCGTTTCCGTCGACAAACGGTTAACGCGCGGCATTGTTTAGATTTGAATTTGTGTGTTGAGTTTAGGAATCTGGTGCTAGTGCGCGGACTTGTTTTACCTTCGTTCTCTTCTTGTTTGTTGCGTGATTGATTTGGATTTGGATGCTTCGCGCGAATAGTTTAAATGAAATATGGTCCAACATTGTAGTATAGATTTTGTATGTTGTTGAATCTAATTATGGTTTGAGAGATTGGTTGATGAACAGTTTGGTTTCATTGTTGGTTCTGTTTAATTTTGTGTTTAAAATTTAGACATCTAGGATCAGGCTTCTCTAAGGATAAATTGAGTTACATAAGCAATGGAAAATAGTAACAAGTGTGGCACTTAAACTTTTCTAATACCAAATAAGTTCTCTGTTCACTGTCGTGCATTATGACCGTGTAAGCCACTACTGTTGACAATGGTGAATTCTATCGGTAATCAAGGGCAAAATGATGTCACTAGTGAATGGTTCAGTATGGCCGTAGTAGCGTTAGATAACTATAAAAGGGTGATCTAGTGCACGAAGCTCTCACCTAATAAGGTTTAGGGTAGATGTATGCATACCATACACTGAGGGGCTGATCCCGTGACCTCCAAGTCACAAGCAACAACCTTACTGTTGAACCAAGGCTTAACCTTGTGTTAGAGAATCATATTGTTTAAAATTATTCTTAAATGATTACTATAATTTTTAAGTTGTTTTTCTGGTTATTAGTATTTTTTATTTTGCATAGGAGGGCTCTCCTTTCTTGCTATATGTGTGTTCATATGAATAAAAATGGGTGGAGTACCATACACATTACATGGGAGAATAGTGTACGTCTAGAGAATTGTTGCTCTTTCCCCTCTAGGGTCCTGGTGTATTTCTAGATATGTGAAAATTTTTATGTTAAATGTTTAATTTTGGTCTATTTTCCCATAGATTTTCGCTGGGACAAAAAATGGGGAAGTTATTTAAATTTTCAATAATATATCTTCTTGGCAATATCATATATATTGCTGTATCCTATTATAAATGGTATTTTGGGTGGCTATTTTCAGGTGTGTGTACTAAGAAATATTCAAAAGTTTGTTTTAACTTTTTCCTTTGCTTCCATACCTTCTAAAATTTCTGGTTTAGAATTTTTCTCTTTATATTTATCATTGCATTTCTTACGAACTTTATTGTTTTATCTGCAGTTAAATGCTGAAAAAAGCCCCTTCCAGAGAACATTTGTTAACCAGGTAATCTACACTGCACTAATTATTCGAAATCCCGTTGCATTTTGAACTCCCTTAATTTTGTTACCTTTTGGAGTGGTAAGTCATTGGTATAATGTTTTTATGTTAGGACTTACTCTGCAGTCTGGATATGAGGTTTTCGTGTAGGATCAGATGTTATGACACTATGTTCTCAATATTCTGGTTAGAAAAAAAAAAGAGAGGGAATGTCTTCGATTAGTTACTTCGTTAACTGGTTCAAACTTTTGGAAAAATTCCTTTTTATTGTTTTTCCTAATTTTTTGTAAGAACTAAACTGAATTTGGCTTGTAAAACACTTCATTGTTGAGATTATCGGGTTTAGGGTAGAGGAAGTGAAAGGAGAGAGAAAAGAGTACAAATTATGTTCTCTAATTTATATTGATGTGATATGTGACTTGAAAGACAAGGCACTAACCTTTATATATTTGACCCATAATCCTTATTAAATTAAATAAACACTCCTAATAAATAACCAAAGATATTTTAAAATATTTGAAGATATTTAAAATGATATTATGAGATGTTTAGATCTTCTAACAGACAGATTAGCTTTTCATAGATTTTTTGCACTGGATATATTGTTATATATCTTCAGAAGTCCTGATTGTGACCATATCCTCAAAACATATATGTTTTGTTACCAATATTAACTGCATTTTGCTTGGCAGGTAAAGCGATGTGCAGAAATGTCAAGAAAGCTACGATTCTTCAAGGATCAAATCACTAAGGCTGGTCTTATGTCTTCTCCTTCAGTCTTGCAATCAGATATTCATCTGGAGGACTTAGAGGTCCTTCTCTATTTCAATTTTTCACCAATCACATGTGACCATTGTCCCAGGGTGTTTTCAATATATACATATTTTCTAGCTGCTAGCAATAACATGATGACAAAACTTAACTAGGTTGTTTGCAATTTTACCACTTTAGGTGGATGGTTATCACATCACTATTGAATCTGACACTGTGAATTCTATTGGATTTCTCTTTAAACAGATACAACTTGCTGAGCATGAACATGAGCTAATTGAAATGAACTCTAACAGTGAGAAACTTCGGCAATCGTATAATGAACTCCTGGAGTTCAAAATTGTATTAGAAAAGGTATTTTCATGGATATTTGTGCAAGCACATTCTCTTTTAAAGTACTTGAAATTTTGATACGGTCATTATTTTTTTGTTGACGCTAGTTTTTCCTGTTTGAATGTAACTCAGCATTGGTTATTGGAGATTTTTTTACTGATCTGATTTTCTACTATACTTCTGATTTTAGTGTAATTCAGTTCTTTTTAATAGTGAATACTTCCTACATACTTCCTCTCATTTCCGTATAATATATAATATTGTGCACATGTTTCAGGCATGCGGTTTTCTTGTTTCAAACCGGGGCACTGCCATTACAGAAGAGCGAGAACTGCATGAGACTGTTTTCTCAAAAGGAGACTATGTTGAGACACCATTTTTGTTTGAACAGGTTCCTTGTAACATCTCTTAGTACTGATGATATTTTTCTACTCTATAAAGTGTAAATTCGGTTACTAGTTTTTTATTTTTGTCTTGTGGACTAAGTGAACTTTTATAAATGGTTTATTTTACAGGAAATGACGCCTGCAGCATCAAATCAATCTGGTTTAAGATTTATCAGTGGGATAATTTGTAAATCCAAGGTTCTTAGATTTGAAAGGATGCTGTTTCGAGCCACAAGAGGGAATATGCTTTTCAATCAGGCACCAGCTGATGAACAAATCGTGGATCCTATTTCAAATGAGATGGTTATCTTCCTAATCAATTTAACCAATCCGATGCCCAGTTTGTTTGTTTCCTAATAATTTATTATCTGTTCTCCTGATGACAGATTCCTTATCTTTTCAGGTTGAGAAGACTGTCTTTGTTGTGTTTTTCTCTGGGGAGCAAGCAAGAACAAAGATCCTGAAAATTTGTGATGCATTTAGTGCAAATTGTTACCCTGTTCCCGAAGATATAAGTAAGCAGAGGCAAATAACATCAGAGGTATGTATGCCCAGATTAAGAACACTTTTTACTCTTTCAATTTTTCATACACTTGTATCATAGCAAAGGACCAAGGTGTACTCTAGTTTCCAGACGAAACTTATCATTTTGCTGCTACAGTTTTCTATGGGGAAAATTTGATGTCTGAAATTCAATACTTTAATATTGTTAAGATCCTACATCAACTACAACTATATCATAGATTATGACTAATGTAGTCCTTGTAAGGCTTGGACCCTCTTAACCATATAAGCCAATTTTGCCTAGCTTAGTTAAGCCCTAATTTTAAATTCTAAAATTGTATTCCAGTCTATCTTTATATCAATTGTGTTTGTCTACACTCTAGATGTTTAACGAACTGTTATATTGGGCCACCCATATTTGTCCATGATTGTGCTATCTAGTTTTGGGTATTAAGGGATGCGTTTAAATCTCACATTTTAACTAGAGATATAACTAATGTAGTTCTTACATTAAGGCTCGGGCAATTTCTCCCTACAAACTGGTTTTCTGCATGAAGTTAGCCCATAAGCCAAAATTCTAAGAAACATCAACCTTTATCCTAGTATGAATCTAGGGAACTTGTTTCCCAATCCAAGAGGCTCTCTTTTGGTGCTCTTTAAGACTTCCATTCTTTAAATTGAAACTCTTGAAATATGAGAAGCATAGGTTGAATCCCTGATGTATGTTAAACACGTAGGGTTATCTCTTTATATATAAGATAAATACAAAAATTAAGGAAATAAACAAATGATGCAGGCCTAAGCGCGTTACATTTAACACTCTCCTTCAGCTGGTGCATATAAAACGTATGCTTAAAGCTTGTTACAAATATAATTAATTCTAGATCCCTGTAATGATTTGGTAAACGTATCTGTTAGTTGATTATTAGAGTTAACAAACTCAGTTTTGATTACTCTAGATATAATATTTTTTCGAATAAAATAGCAATTAATCTCAATAGTCTTGGTCCTTTCATGAAAGACAAAATTTGATCTAATATGAAGAGTGGTTTGATTGTTACATATAAGGTCATTTGAATGACCTCTCCAAACTACAACTCAGTGGGTAATTGTTTAAGTCAAATGAGCTCACAAGTAGTTGAGGCCATAACTCTATATTCTGCTTATGCACTAGATTTTTCTACAACATTTTTTTTTTAAAGAGATCAAGTTGTTTCCAATGAATACAACATATCCAGAAGTGGATCTCCTATTAGACGAATAGCTTGTCCAATCAACATCTGAATAACATATAACCTTAGTATGATTATTGTGTCCATATAACAAACCTTTTCTAGGAGAATTTTTAATATACTTCAACATACGGATGACAACGTTCTAATGATCTACACATGGAGCATTAAGAAACTGACTCACCACACTAACAACAAAAGAAATACCAAGATGAGTTACGATAAGATAATTCAATTTCCCAACTAATCTTCTATACTTCTTAGATCTGAGAGTGGTTCTCCTTGATTAGGTAGGAATTTGCCATTGGGTTCCATGGATGTGTTTGCAAACTTTGAATTTATTAATCCAGTTTCCTCTAAAATATCTAATGTATACTTCCTTTGAGAAATAACAATTTCATTGCTGGATTGTGCTACTTCAATCCCTAAAATATACCTAAGTTTGTCAAGATATTTGATTTGAAAGTGGTGTGACAAAGGTGTTGCTTCACTTGTGAAAGGTATTGGTAATCATTGCATGTAGGTACAATATCATCAACATATACTACTAGATTAATGCATCCGACACTTGAGTGACAATAAAATATTGAATGATCTACCTCATTACAAGTCATACCAAACTGTAGAACAATAGTGTTAAATTTGTCAAACCAAACCCGAAGAAATTGTTTGAGACCATATAAACATTTGTGGAGATGACATTACCAATCCAAAATACCCCCCTGAGCAACAAACCTGGAGGTTTCTCCATATAGATTGATTCTTGTAAATCACCATTAAGGAAAATATTTTTGACATCTAATTGATAAAGAGACGAATGTTGAAAAATAGTCATGACTATAAATAAGCGAACAAAAACCATATTTACAACGGGAGAAAAATGTCACCATAGTCTAACCGAAAAATTTGTGTATAATCTTTGTCATTAGATGAGTTTTGAGACGATCAATAATACCATCAAAACCAACTTTGATATCAAAAAGCCACCTACAACTAACAACAGATTTCCCAAAGGGTAAAAGAATGAGTTCCCAAGTACTGTGTTCTAAAGAGCACTTATTTCATCAAGTATGGTCTGATGCCAACTAGGATGAGCTAAGGCTTCACCTACAAATTTTGGAATTAACACAAAAGAAATAAAAGATAGACAAGTATAAAGTGATGGTAATAACCTATGATAACTCAAAGCAATATTGTGAGGAAAGAAATTACGGGTAGAGCGTATACCTTTACGAACAGCAATAGGAAGATCAAAATCAGTTGTCGGAGTCGGAGGAGATGAAAGGGTTGACACAAGAAGAGAGTCATCTGGTGGATGACAGGGATTTTGGTGGCAACTATATACTTGAAGAGGTGGTGATGTGGGGGATCAGTAGGTACATTAGACACAACTGGAGGATCAGAGACAATTGGGATAGTGACTTGATCAAATGAAGGGAGGATTAAACTTGAATTAAAGGGAAGATTCACTGGAGGTGACATTAGCCGAAATGAAATAGCGATTAATAGAAAGAGAGAAACATTTGTACCCTCTTGTGATCTGGTGAACCCTAAAAAGATACATTTGTGTAACCAAATTGATAATTTATCAAGACCAAGACCATAATTGTGAGTAAAACATGTGGACCCAAAGACTCTAAGTGGTATGGAATGATGATGTTCATAAGGAAATAAAATAGAATGAGAAATGTTATCTAAATTCGAAGATGACATGCAATTAATGAGATAACATACACTAAGAACAACATCACCCAAAAAATGTTGAGAACCTCACCATGGATTCAAAATGTTTCAATAAGATGTATATTCTTGCTTTCAACTATCCCATTTTGTTGAGGTGTATATGTACATTGAGGTTTGATGAAGAATACCATGAGAAAGAATACCATGAGAAGGCATAAAATTTTGACAAGAGCAAGAAAGATACTCACGAGCATTATCACTACTTCAAGGTTCAAATAGAAACTCATAATGATTTTTTATTAAAAATAATCAAGTACATTTTGAATAATCATCATTGAAAATGACAAAATACTGAAATTCCAAACTTGACTTAACACGATTTGGTCCTTAAATGTCATAATGAATTAAGGTAAAAGGAAACAAAACATGTTGTGAAAAACTTTTAGGGAAAGAATTATGGTTGTGTTTTGCTAATTGGCATGACTCATGTGACAAACTTGATAGATAAATTTGGACAAGTATCTCCATCTTGACAAGACTAAGATGACTCAACTAAGCATGAATGAGAGAGGGAGAATCCATGGCCAGACCAACATGTGTAGACACGCAGATGATAAAGACCATGAAGCTCACATATTGTGTTAATCATTCATCCTAAACTTCGGTTCTGTAAACAAACGGAATATTCAGTAAAGGAGATAATACAATCAAGGGAACGAGTGAGACATCTAATGGATAATAAATTATATGGAGACTTAGAGACATAAAAGACATTATCAATAGATAGAGAAGGAAAGAGATGAATGGTACCAACACCATGTGAAGATCCATCGACCATGGCAATAGAAGGTAAATAACCTGAGGTAAATAGAGAAGAGAAGAAGGATGTATTGCCAGTGATGTGATTTGTGACACCCGAGTCTAGAACCTAAGGGCCAAGAGAGTTGGAGTGGGTGAGGCCAGCAAATGATATACCTATGTGTGCAACAAAAGCAACGAACCAGAGTTTTGACGATCCTCGTAACATTTGAGAAATTTATTGAAGATAGCAAGTTGTTTTGAAGGATCAAGGTAATAGTAGCAGAAGATACTACACGTAATTGTAGAGAGAGAATAACCCTAAAAAATATAAAAAAAATTCCAACATGCCTTGATCATAGCAAAAGTTACAGATTCGGAGAAAGGATGGAGAGGTGAGTTTAGTGACATTGGTCCAAACGACAATAGCAATAACGATGATTGCTGCTGAGGTGTGGCGAGGGGGTTGGGAGGGGAAAAATTTTTTTGTACTAGTGAATAGTGGAGTCATTAGGGATGCAAGGATTAAACCTAGCTCTAGATACCATCTTAAATAAGAGAAGCATAGGCTGAATCCCTAATGTGTTCAGCGCACAGGGTTATCTCTTTAAATGTAAGATAAATATAAAGATTAAGGAAATAAACAAATGATATGGGCCTAAGCCCGTTACATTTAACAAAAACTAACCGTGTTATGTCTTTTAGGTTCTTACTGTTGCTTTATATCATTACATGTTATTTTGCTTAACTGTGAAAACAGGAAGTTGGAAACTGTTGAAATTATTGGGTTCAGATGTAGAAAGAAGAGATGAAAAAAGAGTAAATAAGGTGAAATTGATGTGATACTATTGACAAAATGCTAAACCAAGACTAAATAAATAAGGAAAGAAATCATGAAATATAAGAAGTATGGAAATCATTCTTGAGAGATATGTAAAACACTCCACATTAGTATGAGTTATAATAGTGATATTATTAGATATTCTTACACCCCTCTTCAAGATTAAGTATATCGAACTTTAAGGTTCTTACAATTAGAGTCACTAATGAAGAGGAGTGAGACTTTTCGATATTGTTGACAGGAAAAAGATGTAATTTTACATTACCAATAATAACACCAAAAGAGGATGGGCAGAAACAAAGAGAGATAAATAGTCAAGTGCATAAAGAGGTAGCAGTTGAACATGGCAAGAGATATGACTAATTGAAAGAAGAAAATAATCGTGGAAATAAAGTGGAGCTCCATTTTTAAGGAAATACATCAGCTGAATAGTGTCATGGTGATGATACTGCTTCAGTATCATGTTTAGATTGTAAGGTTTTAGGTAGGGTAAAAAAAAGGAAAGCTGAAAATGGAGATTGAATAATCTGAATTTAATATTGAGAGACAAAGCAGTAACAAATAAGATGAATGCTAGACTCCTTAGTTTAATTGAATAAGGAATCAATATACAAGAGAGAGATATATAAGATATTCCAATAGGGACCTGGGTATTATGGGGTGTCTAAGTCCCACCTCATGTAGTAGCATAGAATATTTAAGTGTTTTGTTTTACAATCACGTTCTAAACTATTCTAAGATGCAATAATGATATCAAGGATATTTTTTTTAGTATGCTAATAAAGATTGTATGATTTTAATAGAAAATATAGTTTATGGTTACAGGTTTCAGCACGTCTTACTGACTTAGAGACAACTCTGGATGCTGGAATTAGGCATCGGAATAAGGCTCTTGCTTTTGTAGCAGGCCCTTTAACAAAATGGATGGACATGGTAAGAATTAGCTTCTTAGTACATTCTTGTTCCTTGTGATGTATATGAAAGGCACTTTTAATACCTTATCAGCCTTTGCAAGTGATGGACATTTATTATGAACCAACAACTCATTCTTACCATCTTGTGCTAGGTAAGAAGAGAGAAGTCTGTGTATGATACACTGAACATGTTAAATTTTGATGTCACCAAAAAATGTCTCGTTGGGGAGGGCTGGTGCCCTGTATTTGCAAAAACACAGGTATCCCCATCCCTCAATTTTGTTGGACCCTCACTAATTTCTGTCCTTTGATTTTTGAGGAGTTGAAAACATCTTTGATTTATATTAAGGAGATTGCATCCTTTGATTTTCCAGATTCAGGAGGCACTGCAACGTGCAACTTTTGACAGCAATTCTCAAGTTGGTATAATCTTTCATTCAATGGATACACAGGAATCACCACCTACATATTTTAGGACTAACAATTTCACAAGTCCATATCAGGAAATTGTTGATGCATATGGGTGAGAGCCTAGTATTTAATGTGTTTATTAGCGGCAACACAAATATATTAATGTATTGAAGGAAATTGCTTTCGTTGAAGTTAGAAATGCTGGCAATTTGCTAGCTCATGTCAATAGATCAATAAATGTCTTAATAATGTAGATAGAGTTGGATAAAGTCAGTTTAGAATGGAACCCTTACTTTGCATTTTTGCTATAAAAAGACTTCTAGTCCTAATGACCCCTTGTACTCTGCAGTGTTGCAAGATATCAAGAAGCAAATCCTGCAGTTTATACAACTATTATATTCCCTTTTCTTTTTGCGGTGATGTTTGGCGACTGGGGTCATGGAATTTGCCTTTTGCTGGGAGCATTAGTTCTTATAGCACGTGAAAACAAGCTTAGCACCCAGGTAATTTCATTCTAATGTGACATAAATAAACTAGCAATCGGAGGATTATGCCAAAAAGTATGAGTATGCCATCTGTTAAGCTTCTTTGTGAAAAGACTTAAATTGAGATATATCAAATTTGATCAATATTTAGTAGGATCATAATATTGATATTCGGAGTTGAATATCCAGTATTTTCTATGATTTTTTTGACAAACACCACAATAATTAAGTGATTTTTTCTATAATTATTATGACTTTATAACCCTAAGTATCTTGAAATGTATTATGGTAATAATTCTATTGTACTGCACACAAGTGCGAAAGAGTTGCACAATTTCCTTTCCTTTTGTTCTGCTCTTGGTATTGGAATTAAATGCATCACAGTTATTCTATTTGATTTCTGCCAGCGACTTGGAAGCTTTATGGAGATGCTATTTGGTGGACGCTATGTGCTACTTCTGATGTCACTATTTTCTATCTATTGTGGGTTAATATACAACGAATTTTTCTCTGTTCCTTATCACATATTTGGTGCGTCTGCTTACAAATGCCGAGATAATACATGCAGGTGTCTTTTATTTCTCCTCTCTCGTGCCGGTTTCAATTCTTTTTTGGTACCGTTATGTAGATACACAATGCATTAGTTGCTGGTGTTTTAGGTTTTCCTTTTTTTTATATATAATCAACCATTCAATTCCTGGTAATGATTCCTTGATTACGAAAATTCTATTTTTGCTAAATTACAAATGTTGGTTCAAATCATTCTGCTACTCGTAAGTCATGTACCACCAATTCCATCCTAGTTCTCAGATATTATCTTCAAATTGAAATCATGATTGATATTATGACTCTTATATTGAAAAACCCAAGTTCTTAAATTGATTTACATTGTACTTAAAAATTGTTACCTTCAAATCTGCATCATTTGGAATAATTTGATTGATATCTCTTCCACAATTGCCCTCTGAAGTTATGTTCTTGGTTACTCCTTTCTTCCTTCAAAATTTTATATTGTTAGAGCTTGCAAAATACTGGTAAGTTGTTTCTTAAGCAGGCTTTAACTTTGGTGTTGTGTATTTTTTATCACTCTCCACCCCAGGGATGCACATACTACCGGCTTAGTAAAATACAGAGAACCATATCCATTTGGTGTGGATCCCAGCTGGCGGGGAAGTCGTTCAGAATTGCCTTTTCTAAACTCTCTCAAGATGAAGATGTCCATTCTATTTGGCGTGGTGCACATGAACTTGGGAATTATATTAAGTTATTTCAATGCTCGTTTCTTTGGCAGCTTACTGGATATAAGGTGCTCACTTTTCTTCTAACTTCTCCCAGCAGTTACTTCGCTTTCCTTTGAGTCGAATGCTGTAACTTACTCTTCGTGATGTTTTCAGGTACCAGTTTGTGCCACAGATGATTTTCCTCAACTGTCTATTTGGGTATCTCTCCCTTCTCATCATTATTAAGTGGTGCACTGGCTCTCAGGCAGATCTTTATCATGTAATGATTTACATGTTTTTAAGTCCTTTTGACAATCTTGGTGAGAATCAGTTGTTCTGGGGCCAAAGGCCACTTCAAGTATGAATCATTTCTTTGCTTATTTGTGGCTGAATAATCGTTCCATTTCCTATTTTACATCATGCTGAGTTACTGTTCATGTTATGCAGGTTCTGTTATTGCTTTTGTCTTTAATTGCAGTTCCGTGGATGCTCTTTCCAAAACCTTTTATGCTAAAGAAGCTTCATAATGAGGTGACACTTGCAGTTCCGTTGATCACCAAATTTGTTTATGTTTTAATATTTCTACATTACATACATATCCTTTTGGTTTGATTTTCCCCTTTCAATTAGATGTTTGCCTAAGGTTGCCAGTTAAATATGGTAGTTTAATCACTTAAAACCTCTAACGGCTATACCGACACTGTTTAGCTATTTAGTTACTCTTATCTTATACTTCTGTTGGTAGCGACTTATTAAAGAAGTACAAGGAGTTTGTGAACGATTAATAATTTTTTGTCCTGATGATATTGTAGAGATTTCAAGGACGCACTTATGGTATACTTAATACCTCTGAGGTTGATCATGAGGAGGAACCAGGTTCTGCCAGACAACATCATGAGGAATTCAATTTCACTGAGGTCTTCGTTCATCAAATGATTCACTCTATTGAATTTGTTCTAGGTTCAGTTTCAAATACGGCCTCATATCTACGACTTTGGGCATTAAGGTTTGGTTTGCTAAGATTGTCTCATTTCGTGGGTCCTTATTTTAACAAAAAAAATTATCGTTGGTTGATATTTTGTACCATTTTGCAGCTTGGCTCACTCAGAACTTTCTACCGTATTTTATGAGAAAGTCCTGCTACTTGCTTGGGGGTGAGTTTGATTCAAATATTTCATTAATATGACATACTATTTCTTGAGCTCTATATTGAGATTTCTATTTTCTTTATTACTTTGGATCCCCCCCCTCCCCCTCCCAACCAAAGTGCATCCTGTTACATATAACAAAACTATAATTTTAGAATTAAAGTTGTCGGAATGGTTATCATGCAAAGCAAATAAGTGAAGGCTTTCATCCACAAAACTGAGCTTGATCTTTGACCAGAGAACACTCTAAATACAATATCGGGAAGATGTTGTGATATCTTTTTGTGAGAACACAAAGAGCAAGGATGCCAGCAATAAATTGCATCATTTATATTTATAACAAAATTGCTAAGTTTGTTATTTTAAAGTGCTGTTTTTATGTTTGGTCTATGGTGGCAATGACATACTTTAGTTTTGCTGTATTTTCTTGATACCGTGAAACTAACCTTTATGGATATTAGTTATTATTCCTAGAGTAGTATGGAACGAGCATAATTTTTTCTGACAGTTAGACACTTTTTAACAGGGATAAATTAGTAAGATATGTTAATGGTGCAGCGTAATTTTGAACAGATCATGTGTATATGGGTTTAGTCTATAGGATCCCATTAAAACTACGGCTAACAAAATTATCTTAATTAAACCTAGCATTTATTTTGCACGAGCCACTGGTAAATTTAGATTAATGTGACTTCTGATGAGCCCCTGATTAGTAATTGTGAAGATACAACATGTATCATGTTTGCATTCCTTTTTAGAAATTTATCTTTTTTAGCATCGATTTTTAATATTTAATTGTTGATCGCATAGCTGGTTTCAATTATAATAGGTATGACAATCTTGTCGTTCGGTTACTGGGGCTTGCTGTCTTTTCCTTTGCAACTGCCTTTATACTATTAATGATGGAGAGTCTCAGTGCTTTTCTTCACGCCTTGCGTCTTCACTGGGTGGAATTTCAGAATAAATTTTACCATGGTGATGGATATAAGTTCAGGCCTTTTTCCTTTGCCTCCTTAACTGATGATGAAAATTGATCCATTCTTGTCTATCTTGGACTGTTGGCAAATATGTGCAAAGGATAATACACAAGTAGAAGAAGGAACACGGAATGAGAAATTGTGGGAATCCAATTTGGTGGCTAAAAGCGCCAGGTTTGGTTGATATTTGACCCAGCATCAATACTCTGGCTCATTTTCCCAGGGCTATGCTAGTTTTTACAGATTTAAACCAACAGTAGTGGGCTGCATCTGTAACAGAATATTTATTTTCTAATTTTTCTTTTTCTTCCTTAGAGTAGGAAAATGGGAAAATATTAGGGAAGGGAATGGTTAGTTAATTTTGTAAAAAGAAGTCCATGATAGTTTATCTATTGCTTATTTGGGTTACACACACAATGTAGCGGGGGGCCTTTCCAGATGTAGTCACGTAGGCATTTACTCATCTTTTTGTAACGATCAAAGATTAAGAAAATTATATCTTAACATCTCCATCCAATAATCCATTTTAATATTATAATAATAATAAAAGTTTTAAATTTTTATTTTATTAGTATTATTATTAAATTGTGTTGTAAAATAACTCCATAAAAAAAGGTTTAACGCTACTCTAAAGATTATTCACCAGTAAACCATTCTTTAAGGCTTTGTCAGAAAACACAGTGCGGAATAAAAAAATTTAATAAGTTAGCGCGATTCTTTGGCTTTTTTTTTTACCTCTTTTTTCCAGTTCTATCTGGTTTGGTATTGTCTGAGTAATTTCTGAAATTACGTTTATAAGTTATTTTAGTCATTTAAATTATGGAGAGAAAAAATATTTTTTAATTAAATATATCTCATTTTACTCTTATATTAGAGAGAGTATTTATTTATGATTTTTAAATTCTTGTGATGATATGATTTTTAAACCTTAAAATGTTTTTATTATTCCTTCAAGTTATCAATTGAAAATACATTATTTCTTAAAATATTATTATTATTCAAATACATTATTTTAAAAATTTCAAAAATAGGAAGAATATTAACCTGTTTTTAATTCTAATCATTTTTTTATCAAAATATCTCTAAACATTATAAGAGCGTGGGTCTTCTGAACATATATTCTAAAAACATATTTTGGATTAGCTGTTTTGGAACTTAATTATGGAACACTTAACATGAGAATGTATTTTAGAACAACTAATCTAAAATGCATTATCGGATTGGATATTTCGAAAATATATTTTAGATTAGTTGTTTTGAAACTTACTTTCGAGTCTGAAAATGTGTTTCAAATGTAACTCCAGTGAAACAGAACAGACCTATTACAAACTAAAGTTACACAACTCTCATTTTATCTTCGTGATTATGAAGTGTTTAGTGACTCAGCTGTGTCAGTAGAGGGAGATCTAGTGCATTTTGTACTTATTACAGAGTCTGAGCCAATCATCTTTGAAGAAACAGTCATAGAGGTTCATTAGTGGAAAGTTATGGAGGAGGAGATTTATTCAATTGAAAGAAACCAAACCTAGGAGCTTATTAAGTTGTCACCAGAGAAGAAGTCAATCACCCTCAAGTGGGTTTATAAGATTGAGTAAATTCAAAGGGTGAGGTTATAAGATATAAAATAAGACTTGTAGCCAAAGACTTCTTGCAGAAAGTTGGAATAAACTATGGTGAAGTTTATGTGCATGTTGTTAGGATCGAAACCATAAGATTAGTAGTTGTTATTGTCATGAATGCTAACTGGTCCTTACACCAGTTAGATGTTAAACTAACTTTTCTGAATGACCCTCTTGAAGAAGAGGTTTATGTGTAGTAGCCTAGTGGGTTTGAGCATAAGAGTGAAAAGCATAAAGTGTATAGGCTGAAAAAGGCCTTATATGGGCTTAAGCAAGCACTTAGAGCATGGAACAAGCGGATTGATGGTTTTCTTGACAAAATTGGCTTTGTTAAGTGTATGTTCGAACATGGAGTCTATGTAAAAGTCTGGAAGAACATAAGCAGAGTTGAAAAGATCATCATATACTTGTATGTTGATGATCTTTTGATCACTGGCAGTAATGAAGAGTTGATAACTTCTGCAATAATAAACTTTTAAAGGAGTTTGAGATGAGTAACTTGGAAAATCTGAGTTATTTCTTGAGTATTGAGTTCGAGAAAACTCCATATGGGAAGGCTATATATCAGACAAAGTATGCTCATGATATGCTGAAAAAATTTGAAATGTAACAAAGTAATCTTGCCAAGACACTTGCAGAAGTAGGATTGAAGCTTGACAAAAATCTTGATAAAGAAGGAGTTGATCCTACACAATACTGAAACCTTGTTAGAGGCTTGAGGTATCTGTGTAACACTAGACCAGATTTAAATTTTAGTGTTGTGTTGGTGAGTAGATATATGCAAGAACCAAAAGTGTCACACCTTCTTACTGTGAAGCGCATACTTAGATACCTATAAGGAACTGAAAATATGGGAATTTTGTTGTCAAAAGGGTATGATGAGTTGATGGAGTATTGATTGGTGTAGTGACAAGAGTGATAGAAAGAACACGGCTGAGTACATCTTCTTCCTTGGAGAGACACCAATTTTTTGGACCTCTATAAAAGAACCAGTGGTGGCTCGCTCATCTTGTGAGGCTGAGTATATAGTTGCCTCTGAAGCAGCTTGTCAATAAATTTAGCTGAGTTCACTGATGAAAGAATTAAAGGTAAAATAAACATGTAAATTGAAGCTACTGATTGATAGTAAATCTACAAAGATCTTGTTAAGCATCTAGTCTCTCATGGTAGAAGCAAGCACATTAAGACCAGATTTTACTTTATTCGTGAGCAAGTTTCAAATGAAAAACTGGAGGTTGAGCATTGCAGGTCTAAGATACAACTTGCTGACATTTAAACAAAAGCTTTGAAGTTCGAAAGACTCAAACGTCTTAGACAACAAACTGGTGTTGTTGATGTATCGTTTTTTAAAATTGGTGTTAGTAAATAGTCAAGTCAAAAAGTTAATTAATTTTGTTTCTTTTAAAACTTTTCTGTGCATATTCGCTTATAAAAATATATAGTTGTTAAGGTATTACACAAATTAATACTACTACTGTCTTTGGGTTGTTTTTCTCTGTTCTCTATTTTTGTTGTTTCTATGTGATAAACTAATGTATTGTTATATCAGAATTAACATGTAACCCTTTGACTTTGTCTTAATACAAAAGAATGAATCATTAAAAATATATTCCAATATTTTAGACAATTTTTGTGCTTATTTTCCAATTAACCAGGTCCAATTATGAAAAGGTTTATCTTCATAATTACATATCCTACAAAAATAGGTAAAATAACTTTCCATTTGTGTTACTATTACATTTTGTGTCATGATAATTTTTCATCACTCATTAGTTGTGTCATTAATAACACATGTCAAAGCAGAATTGCCCTATACAAAAACCTCTAAAATATATGAAAATGAGAATCATCAAAATATATTTTATTTTAGATTTTTTAAGATTTGACACAAACATTTAAGGTAATAAATAGTGGTAACTTAACATTTGTAAGAATGTTAAGTGTTACATAAGTGTAAACTCATTGTTGGTTTAGATAAACATCCTTAAACAGTTTATTCATTTTTGTCCTATGCTTTGAAAAAAAAAAAACAAATCATTGTATAATTATTCTTGTCTTATATTCAAGATAGAGATGACAAAATGGGTCAATCTGCTCCCATTATAGTCATGACTGATCAGTAAACCTTGGTTCGTCTCACCAAAGGGTGGGTTGGCGGGTTGATCGGACTTGTTTGCCATAATTAAAAATAATAATAATTTATTTTTATAAATTTAATAATAAAATGATCATTTGTTTGTCAATAATTCAACATATATATTGCAAGTTAATAATATAAATTAACACATTATTTTAAAAAATTATAATTTATAACAATAATAAAATTTATATAATAATAAATAATAACAAAATATATATATATATATATATATATATAAATAACATTAAAACCTGGTAAAATTTATATTTTTTAGATTGAAAAATTTAAATACCTATATCTTTTTTATTTGATAATATTTTACGTTGTTCTCCCTTGAGTAATTTTTATGCCTTTAATTTAAGTTATAAGGATAAGAACAATCAGGATAAACAGGGAGGAGATGATGACCAACAAGGAGAAGAGGAGAGAGGAGCTTGTGTTTGAGTAAGAAGAATGTTTCCCGTAACGAGTGAGAGTGAGACTTTTTTAATTCTCTTTTTATAATTTTTAACTTTATATATTATCTTTATGATTAACTGTATTACAATTAAAAAATTATTATTTAGGCTAGTTGCGGGCTAGCTCAACAACTTGACGGGGCGAGCTAGAGTAGGCTAAAAACACCAACTCGTCCCACTATATTACAACAGGGTGGTAGGTCGGGTCAAACTTATTTTATTATCCCTAATTTAGGATAAACAATAATTCTTAGTTATACCACACAAATATCTTTATGTTGAGAGTTTAAGTGTAAATTGAAATCTTATATTAAATAGAGATAAAAAAATTGAATAACTTATAAATAAATAAAAATCATAACTTAATACCTCAAAATTTGAATTAAAAATTAAGTCATATTTTTTTATATAATTTAGTCCAATCACACTAAAAAAATCTTCCAATATTAGTTCTCTTAAAAATACTCATTAATAAATTAATGACAAGAATTTTAAATCCACGTAAGCACTCACCAATCACAAACTCCATATCTTTTCATCATTTAATTTATTATCATTATTATTACCATTAATATTATTTTTTCATTGTTTTAATTCACCTACTTTATCTTAGCCACATAAGAAAAACAATATGAAGTAACAATGCTACGGCGTGCCAATTGCAATATATGTACTCAAATTAAACTTTTCTCAATTCAAAATTATTAATAAAATTGCAACAAGTTTAAACCACGTTAGCAAGTTTTACATGTAATGTCCTAAAAACAACGTTACCTTTGCATGTGTTGTGTACATTACACAACTAAAAGTAAACCAATGATCGCTTTTTTTTTTTAAGCTTGACGGTGGAGCAAGATCCTAGAATAAGACTCCCGCACGAAGAAATTGACAAACGGTTGAAATGGGCAGAATACAATTTTCTTAATTTTATATTTAAAGTGTATGATACTATATAGAATTAAAAAAAAATGTTTCCATTTTATTAAAATATTATTAAATATTTTTGTGAATTTTATTTATAGAAAATTACAAGAAATATTTTCTATTTATGCTAAATTTATTGCAAATTTTTATTTGAAAAAATATAATTAATATAATTGTAATAAATTTTATACGAGCTCTTTGCAATTAATTTTTGCAATAAAAAATAAGTATTTCTTATGAAAAATATAAATTACAGGAAAATTTGTAATAATTTTTTATGTTTTTTTATAAAAAACTTATAACAATTTTTTGCATATAATTTTTTTTAGAAAAAATTATAAAAAAATAATGATTTTCTAGCAGGATAAATATTTCTAAGTTTCACTGCATTTATGTCCCACATATAATAATAGTGGAATTTTAATTAATAAAAAAATTACAATTATATATCTAAAACACTCCATTAATTCAAATTAAATATGATATATTAAAATTACATATCTTAATACATGTGAGAAAATTAAATCATGATACTAAATTTGTACAAATTTGGAATTTCAATTAATAAAAAAATAAAATTTTACAATTATATATCTAAAACACTCCATTAATCCAATTGAAATATGATATATTTATATTACATATCTTAATACATGTGAGATAATTAAAACATGAGATTAAATTTGTACGAGTTTGATAATAAACAAAAATGTAAAATATTTTTACATCATAAATTAATAAGAGATGATCTTCAATATAAACTTTTAAAATATTTATTATAAAATTGAATAAAATTGAACAAAATAAATATATAAAGAACTACCACAAAGGAATGAATATTAATAATTCAATCTTAAACTAATATTTATAACTTGCCATGACAACAATTTTTTTGTTATCGAAAATATCTTTCCCAAAATCAATTTTACAAAAGTCGAACACAATTTTTTACAAGTAACAAAGAAGAAGGACTTAGAAAGAGACTAATGGGCCCATTTAGAAAAAGAGTAATAACTAACTGACAACAAATTCTACTGAGGCCCAATCATTTGTATGACCCACCACATCGTCGTGAAATGTGGTTCCCGCTCGCTGTAGTTTGAAATCGTAACAGATATAACACAGTAACGGATTCATTCCAAATCCAATTGCCATTTGACAGAAACACAAAACTACAAGTAAAAGAGAAAGAGTGATAATACCGTATTATCATGGATTCCATTCCCAACATTTCGCTTCTAGACGAAGATGATTTGCTGCTGTTCGATGATTCTGCAGCGGCCACCGCCGATGTCTTCTCTTGCTCTCCTCTCATACCGCTCAAATCTAATCCTCCTCACACAGGTTAGTTTTTTTTCTATTGAATTTTCTCCCTCTCTTGTTCTGAACGATTTTTTCTATGAATAATTGTTGATTTACTGATTTACCTTCTGCAGAAGGTTGCGCTGCGGATTTTGAAAATCGAAGTTCATCTGTTAATGAAGGTGCGAACAAAGAGAATGCTGATTGGAACAAACAGCAGAAGCTTAGCCTGGAGCCTCAGCAAATGAAGAGGAAGAAGAAAGGAGGCGGTTACAATTTGCGCAAGAGTTTGGCGTGGAATCGAGCCTTCTTTACTGAAGAAGGCATTCTTTTTTCTCCATTATCCATTAATTAACCGTGAAAATTCATAGCAGTAGTTATTTTATTAATAAATAAATTAATTAATTAATAGATTGATTTGTTCTGAATCCTACTCTCAGGTGTCTTGAATCCGGTGGAGCTTTCTATGATTAGTGGCACTGCCTCTGCTAAGGCAGGGTTGAATTTGGAAATGATTCACGAAGAAGAGTACGTAGGTACTTCAATAAAGTTGCAGGAGATTGAAGAAAATTATTTTATGCAATCATCCTCTGTTCTTCCCGCTGTAGATAGAAAGATTGGTGCTACAGCCCGGTTTTCTCCAAAGCCTGCCGCATTAGCCAAAGCTTCTCCGGTCCCAGTTTCCTTGGTCCGTCTTTATATTTTTTGTGTGATAATAGTGTATAGAAATTGAACTCTTTCTGATTTTTGTCACTTGTTGGATACTTGTTTGTTAGGCCAAGAGGAAAATCCTTACTGTCAATGACTCCGTTGGTAACAGACCAAAACGCAATGCTTGTCCTTCACGGCTGCCAGTAGCGTCGTCCTCATATCCTTGCCATTGCTTGTTTAGATAGATAATCAGTGGAGTGTCTTATATTGTTGTGCCTCTGCTATGGAATTGAGTTGTCTTTTGTTTCTTTATCTGTTGACTTATGAAGTGTTTACCTTGACCCCTTTGCAAACTAAAAAGACCTGACACAGTAAAAGCGCCGAGTAAAGAAGTGAAAGTCGCTACGACACGTGGTCCTAAGGTGGATGTTTCTGCAAGTGCAACAACTTCCAGGAGTGGAATGTTGACCGCAGGTTTCTCGAATAGAAATCAGAATGCTAATCCTGGTATATTCTGCAACTTGCGTTTTTTTTTTTGTTATACTTGGAATATTGACTAGACTGAATAGGAGAGATATAATTCCTTGTACTTTTATTATAATAATGCATAATACAATGTGAAAATAGATCATCTAATAAGTTTTATGTCGGTTGACGTTTGTGATCTCAATGAACTTCAAAAATACAGGCTTCTCTTTGAGTAATCAAACATCAAATTCTAACTTAACATGTGATACATTTATGGGTAATCTTTAGGTAATTTTTTGTTTCTCTTCTACAGCCACTAATGTTCAGAAGCATTCTGGAGTAAAAGCCTTGTCAAAAAATCCTAAAACTGTCCCAAGTAATCCAAAAGTTGGTCCTGCTGATAAAAGTTCAGTTACTAGAACACTAGCCAAGCAAGCTGGGAAACATTTGGTAGGAACTTTAAACTTCTACAGGCTGTAATTTTTAAACATTTATCATTTGCTCCATCAAGTTTTCAATTCCTTTTACTTAACTACTTGGCACATGATTCGTCTCTTGAAACTGTTTGACTGCGCAGGATAACTCAGTTTCAGAAACACATCCACCACCCGGAATGCTTCAATCAGGAACTGAAGCTAATAAGGTGTCAGAAGCTTGTCTCCCGCAAGCCTTTTCTGACATTGGTGAGAAAAAGCAGCTGAAACAGCTTCAAACCACAAAATTGTCAGGCCTGCGGATGCCATCTCCCTCGTTGGGATTCTTTTCTATGGTATATAATTTTATTTGGGCCTTATTATATATTTAGATGCATGTATCATCAGTAATATAATGCTCATATGATGATTTCAGATTCATACTTATTACTTCTTTGCAGGCAAAAGCTCCCAGTCCATATAGCCAATTTCAGAAAATTTCTAAACCTTCCAAACCAGCTAAGACTAACATTCCTAAATTACAGAATTTAGAAACAAATTCTGTTAATGATGCAAGCGTACAACATGCACCTGGGATAAGGTCAGAAATTGTCAAAGGGGCAGCAAAGAATTGCTCTGAGGAGTTAAGCCTTTTAGATGTAAAGTCAGAACTGAGAATGCAAGTGGATAATAAGCACATAGCTGGTGTCAAAGTGGAATATAATTCTCTGTGTTCTGAAAATGTACACAAGGAAGAAAAGGTTGAAAAGATTCTTCAACATGTCAACATAAAATCTAAGGAACAAGGAGAACTGCATAGACGTGAGAATGTTTCTACCGTGGAGGATGAGGTATTCCCTAGACGTGAAAAGGAACTTCTTTCAGAGAGTCATACCCTAGAGCAGTTGGAGAAAGAAGCTGTTCACCCTGATGTTTTATCAAATGGGTATCAATCGGTATTGCAGGAACCACAGTCTATGCAGTATCATGGCATACAGGGAACTTCAATAGTGAAAGGTAGCATTTCAAATACAGTGCAAAATGGTACGGGACAAGATGAACGGACCAAACTACTCGTTTGTGATGCTCATACTTCCAATGAAAGTTTGGTGCTACAGGCAAAGCACAGCACTTCTTTTAAGGATAGTAGATTTTCTGGAGAGTTCAATGAATATAGTAGTGTCAATACTGCACTTTTAAATTCCAGTCCTATTGATTTTAGTGAAACTATTTTGGAAGGATCTATGCAAGAAATCACCTCTAAGAGGAACGCTGAACAGGTAAATGGTGGTGCTTCTGATTTTATTAAAAGTGGAGGAGAAGCACAAGAGCATTTATTGAATGGGAATCTCTCAGTCAATTGCAATGAAATCACTGAAAGTAAATTAGAGGCAGTTAATCAGCAGTTACACGGGGAACAACTCAAGAGTGAAAGTGAATCTCATGTAAATAGTTGTCAGCTAGTTCATATGAGAACCTTATCTTCCAAATGTTCTCCTCAGAAATCTATAACAGAAATCAAATATACTGCTGCAAGTGAACCAAAAATAGCTAACATTGAAGGCTGTCAGTTATCAGTAGATGGTCAGTCAGGTTTCATTCAGACAATACCAGTGTTGGAACAATGTGATAAGGTCATTGTCTTAAAAGAAATGGGTCATAGCACTGAAGTGTTTCAATTGGATAGGTTGAGTGAAGATCGCGCAACCGTTTCTGCAATTACTTGCAATACTGCGGTAGGCAATGTTTCTAAGGAAAGCAGACATTTTCATGAGAATAATGTCCAGAATATCCACCTTACATCCCAAGTATTTCCAATGATAAAAGCTTATTTTGTTTCCAGTGAAAATGAAATGTCAACTAACAACTGCTGTACGATTTCTGAATTGCAGCTTAGGGATGAGGATTCTTCTGGGGATGCTTCTATCAACTATGATGTTCCGTGTGATGTCCCTGGAAACTTTGAACAACAAACTAGCAAGATTACATATTCTAAAGATAACAAAATGCTTTTTGAAGATGATGTTAATAATATACTGCACTTGAATGGTGATAAGCTGCCCACACATGTTGCTCCTTCTCAAGAAATCAAGAATACAAATTTATTTGAGGGTGCATTATGTGATATCTCTACAAGCGAGCACAGTGCTTCCAATAATCATATTCGGGATATGCCTGAAAACAAATATGAATATCTTCGTATGGATGATTTGCAAATTGATGATGCAAAAGAATGTTACTCTGACATACTGCCTATAGTTGAATTTCAATTCAATGACAACACTCAGGCAATGTCTGAAAACAAAGATGGAAATCTTGATATGGATGATGCCAAAGAAGGTTCTTCTGACATATTGCCTCTAGTTGAAGTTGAACTCATTGACAACGCTGAGGCCATGTCTGAAAACAATGATGGAAATCTTGATATGGATGATGCAAAAGAAGGTTCTTCTGACATATTGCCTTTTGTTGAAGTTCAACTCATTGACAACATTCAGGCTATTTCTGAAAACAAAGATGGAAATCTTGATATGGATGATTTGCGAAAGGATGATGCAAAAGGTTCTTCTGACATATTACCTTTCGTTGAAGTTCAACTCATTGACCACATTCAGGCTATGTCTGAAAACAAAGACGGAAATCATGATATGAATAATGCAAAAGAATGTTCTTCTGACATATTGCCTTTAGTTGAAGTTCAATTCATGGACAACATTCAGACTATTTCTGAAAACAAAGATGGAAATCTTGATATGGATGATTTGCGAAAGGATGATTTAAAAGAAGGTTTTTTTGACATATTGCCTTTAGTTGAAGTTCAAGGCAATGACATGATATCTTCTGAATGCAATTCTTCTTCAGAAGTGAACAAAGGTTCTTATACAAATGTAGTTGCCTGGAAATCTGAGGAGCGTTGTTCTTTAAGTCAAAGTTCAAATTTACCAGCTTCAGATCATCGAAACTTCATACAAAGAATCCCAAAGTTCCGTGAACTTAGTTTACTGAACAGGAAAAATATTTCAGATGAATCTGAAGTTAGTATCCTTGAGAAAAATGAGTGTCCTAATACTGACGTGCAACATCAGTCTAAAGGTGGCGTTTATTTTTCAGAAGACAGCAGAAAAAATAATTTGTGAGTATCTTAGTTTGTGATAATATTTAGTCAATTACGCTCTGGCAACCCTTCCATGTCTACATCTAGGACATGGATTTGAAACTTGGCAAATCTGGTAATGTAATCTCAATCTTTTGAATGACAGGCATGAATCTGCGGCTAAAAGCAAGCAGGAAGTTCTTACAGGAAAGCTTGCACCAAATGCTGCTCCATTTACTGATGAATGGTTCACTGCAATCAAAGCCGCTGGAGAGGTGACTTAGATTCTTGACTGCACCTCCATGTTTTTAATGACTGATTATTAATAGCTTTTTGCATGGCGCGTGGTGTTTCATGCCACTTCAGCGTTGTTTTCCTGTTTTCAATTATTACGCTGCTATTTTTTTGCCTTAAAACGTTGATTGTTTTTATAATAATTTTTTTTGTATTTTTTGTTGAATTATGGTCAATTTTTGTGTGTTGCATGTGGAAGTTCAATCAAAATTCCCCACACGGAGATTGGACAGAAACTGTTTCTGCAACTGCTTGTGATACAGAGGTAAGCAATTTTCTGTGGAAACCAGACCTTTTCATGAGAATGATAGAGAAAATCTCCACTTTACAGCCCAATTATCTCCAATGGTGAAAGATGGTTAGATTCGAGGGTAAATGATATATCAAGTAATAATAACTGCTGTACCATTTTTGTGTTGCAGCTTCGAGATGACGGTTCTTCTAGGGATGCTTCTTTGCACTATCATGCTCATTGTGAAGTACCAGGAAACATTGATCAACAAACTAGCATGACTACATATTCTAAAGCTGATGAAATGCTTTGCGAGTATAAGAATTCAGAGCTAAATAATGATTACTTGGTTGATCAGACTGAATTTTGTGAAGTATCTGCAGATTTCATTTCAAACACCAAAGATTCTATTGATAGTGGAGCAGAAAAGCCTTCCGGCCGTTCAGAACATACACTATTGGTTCAGTTTGTCCAAGAATTTAATCACACTACCAGAGAGATTGAGGAATCACATTTGATCACACAAGGGCAGTCACTTACTGAAAATCCAGTGGCGTACAACTGCAACAGTAAACAATGTCTTGATGTTTCTGATGATAAGTTTCCATTGGCCGATAATGACAATATAAATGAAAATTCTCATCTTTCTGATTTTCAAGGGCCTTGTGCTGTTGTTGGTAAAGACTCCCAGAATGTTGATAACATACAGCACTCGGATGGTGATTGGCTGTCCACAAATATTGCTACTTCTGAGCATGCATTAGAAGGATGTGATATCCATACAGGTGAGCACAATACTTCTAATGACCATATTCAGGTTATGCCTGAGAACGAAAATGGAAATCGTTATGCGGATGAAAGGGCTGAGCATTTGCAAATGGATGATGTGAAGAAAGGTTCTTTAGACATATTGCCATTAGCTGAAGTTCAACTCAACAACAACGTTGCATCTCCTGAATGCAATTCTTTTATAGAAGTGAGTAAACGCTCCTTTACAGATGTAGTTGATTGGAAACCTGAGGACCATTGTTCAGCTGAAAGTTCAAGCTTAACAACTTTAGATAATCTAACCCCCAACACAAGAATCCAAAATGTCTGTGAAATTAGTTTGTTGAGCACTAAAACTTTTTCAGAAGAAGCTGAAACGAATATCTTTGTGAAAGATGAGTTTCCTAATACCGACATGGAGCGCCAGTCAAAAGGTGACATCTATTTTGCAGAAGACAGCGACAAAATAAACCATTTGTAAGTATCTTCGTTCTTGATAATATTTGATAATCACACTTTGACAATCCTCTAGTTTCTGCTTCTAAGATACGATTTTGAAACTAGACAAGTTGAGTAATGCAATATTAAATATTTTGAATGGCAGGCAGGAATCGTCAAATGAAAGCGAGAAAGAAGTTCCTACAGTGAAGCCCCCGCCAAATGCGGCTCCATTTTCTGACGAATGGTTAGCTGCAATTGAAGCTGCTGGAGAGGTGACAAAATATTTCTTGACTGCACCTGCATATTTTTACGACTGATTATTAGTTTTTTGCATGGCGCCATTTTTCATGCCACTTCAGTTTTGTTTTCTAGTTTCAATTCCTTCTATGCTTCTTTTGGGTTTCAATTCTATATTTATAATTTTTGTATGTTTCTGTTCAATGTTAATTTAGTCAAATTGTTTGTATTGCAAGAGGAAGTTGAATTAAATTTTTATTTTAGATTTAGCCTCACGGCATCATTATATAAGACCGTTTCTTCATGGAAATGTAAGATTCATTTTGAACCTGGTGTTGACAGGAGATGTTAACTATGAAAAGTGGCGCGGTACAAAATTCTCCCACAGACAAGCCTCAGCTCGAACCTGGTCCTTGGTCCCCGGTAGGTTCACACTGCACCATCTTCCTGATTCAAATTCTAAACGTAGAGATCCAGCATGGACAATTTACTTATTGGTAATCGGATACTAAAGTATAATTCACGTACCTGAGGATTCTCTAACCTAAATTGTGTATAATTCAGTCTCCCTTTTCACGGTTTTAAATAAGGGAAACCCCGTCAAGATTTATAAATATTAATGGAAATATAACACAATTTTGACATAAAGAGCTCACGTGAAACATCTAACGCATAAAGATGAATCCGCGAACAAAAAAAAATAACTTATCCACTTCCACTGCTACAGTGCCGGGGATTTCAAAAGAAGTAATTTGCATGAGACTGACGCATTTGGTGTTGGAAATCCTTAGATGACATCAAAAATTGTGGAATTTTCTTACGTTCTTTATAAATGCCTTTTCATTAGCTCTACGCACTGTAACATCAATATCTTCCCATCATATAAGATGTCATGATAAGCACTTTAGTTTCGCTTGATTCATCTTTTTGCTAACAATAATCTTATCTAGTTGACATCTTAAGAAGTTGGATTATATGTTACTTTCCCTATTTCGTTCGTTGTCTCTGTGCTTTGTATTTTAATATTATTTTGAGTGTTACTTTAATTTCTTTGTCTCGTTTTGGTTTTTGCAGGTGAGAAGGAAGAATCAATCGATTGGACCGTTTGATTGCACCAAACACAATATCCAGCATTCCAGTTCCTAATGACAAAACTTGATTTAATCATTATTAATTACTACTAACCATTTCCTCTTTTGCTCAAACCAACCCTTCATCAACTTCAGAAAGTTCGAAGACGTACGCAGGAAAGTGCTGCGCATATGGAATTGCCAGTTACCACAATTATGCCTTCCTCTGAAGATGCTCATAAATAAATAATATTCTTCTTATTCTCATTGTTCTCAAATTGTAAATAATATTTCTGTTCTAGTTTTTATATAGAACTTTTGTTTTTTAAGTTTCCGACGAAGGTATTATGAAGGTGAGACTAATTTGCGCTTTTGGTGTCACGTAAACTCCAATTCTTTCATCACATTCAGGAGATTCGATTATTTGGAATGTATAATTCACATTTTTTTCTTTACTTGAATCTAATTTCAATCTGATATGGTTTTCGTTTTGAATCTTGATATATATATATATATATATATATATATATATATATATATATATATATATATATATATATATATATGTATATATATATATATATATATATATATATATATATATATATATATATATATATATATATATAGATATATATCGATTGAACTTTAGAATTATTATCATTTTAATCATTTTTAATTTCATATTTGGACATGTCATATCAATAAAGATGTTGATTAAAATGAAAATAATTTTATAATTTCTTCCTCAATTTTATTTATTTTAAATTTACACTTTAATGAAATAAATATCAATTGCTTGTTAAATACTTTTTTATAATTAATTACTAAATGAACATTATTACATAAAGCATTTCACATTTATTTTTTTGATAATGGCAAATGCACACAATTTTTTCCCCTTCTTTGATGCTGCTTTCACTGAATGGCAACAATAAACATGCAATGAGTGGGAGATGTAATCCAAAGAAGCATTCAAAGTATTTTTTTATTGAGAATGAATTACACTTTTTTTTTTTTTTTTCAGAGTCAATATTTATGCTCAATTTGATATTTCTCTTCATTCATTTCAACGACCTTTTTTGCGGGACTCTGTTTTCAGTCATTGTTATTCACATTCTCTCACTTGCAACATAGTTCTCCATTCCTGTTTATAGAGTTTTTGGTTCGAACCAGGTGTGATAGACAGATTTAATAATAATATCGAAGAAGAGGAAATTGTTAGAAAAGTCAGACGAAGGTTCCTCCATTCAATTTTCCGAACAGGAAGTACTTCTCTAAAAATTTTGCTCACTGAATTCAAATCCACTATACAGAATATATAGCAGAAAATAGCTAATCAAGGTCACAAGAAGTTACAAAGCAAATAACTTAGGCAGGATACATGATGACTTAGCCCAAAAGAAAATGAAAATAATAATAACCCTACGAGTATGAGGGTTAAAAAAAATTATGGAGATTAATATCGTTACATGGCACTTTACAACAAGAGGGCACTCATCACGTAGAAGCACCTAACTAATCACACAGATTGAACATAATACCTAGGGAGTTTGATTGGTAGCAAGATTGAATTTTCATTCAACTTGATACTTTTCTGCTTAAGCAGAGAACTTAGTGATGAAAAAATTGAAAACGAATCCTTATTTTTTTTCATGTAAGATACAACTTACTAGTCCTTGAGTCTTTCTGCTTTAAGCATACTCAGGATTGAGTGCTAATGCTTCCCTGTAGATCATCTCTTTTATTTGTTCTTCATCCAATTGCTGTTGCTCAAACTCAAATGAGAATGGCTCCATGCAGATTGGTTCATCAGCTACATCATGCAGTTTTTCAAGGTATGGATGGGCTAGTGCTTCTTCAACTGCCAATATTTAAACAGAAATAAATGAAATTCGCCCAGTTTTATTCAGTATGTAGCTTTGCAGATATCATCCATTTTCGAAATGAAACTGCATGTTGCTTCATCTATCTACAAAATCATAAAGGAGTGACAGGAATGGGAAAGGTACCTGTAATTCTTTTGGTGGGATCAATGGTCAACATTTTATCAACAAGATCAATGGCTGCAGGATGAACATGGGGGAACACCTGAGCTAAAGGTTGGCGAGGATATTGAGGAAGTTGTCTGATATATCTTCTCGCATCTTCGTTTTTCACTAACCCTAGGTCAGCCTCAGTTGGGGTGCCAAGAAGCTGTGGTTAAGACAAGAAGGGTAAGAATGGAAATAGAAATTACTTCTTAAAATTGAATTTAATAACTTGAAACATATGATCATCAAATTTTAAGAGAAGCTTCAGCAAGCATTTAATGCAATTTTTTATGTCATTGTTTTGTTTTTTCAATCTTACCTCTGTCAATAGGCGCATCTGATGCACATGGTCTTTGCCTGGAAACAGAGGCTTTTTATTCATAAGCTCCATGAAGATGCAACCAACAGACCAGACATCTATCGCAGAGGTGTAATCTGAGGAGTTCAACAACAATTCGGGCGCCCTGTACCATCTTGTGACTACGTATTCTGTCATGAAGTCACTTTCCAAAGTTGGTCGCGCAAGACCAAAATCAATGATCTTTAAGTCGCAATTAGAATTTAGCAACAGGTTGCTCGGTTTTAAATCTCTATGAATTATGTTTGCAGAATGTATGTATTTTAGCCCACGAAGAATCTGATACAAGAAGTACTGCAAGTGCAAGAGCATCAATCATCAGCAAAACAAAAGGTTCAAATTTTAAAACATAAAAATTAATTATGATACAAATGAATTAAAAAACAACCGATTGAGAGCACTCACTTGGCAGTGCTCCTCCGACAGACTTTGATTGGAGCGAATGATATGATGAAGATCGGTATCCATGAGTTCAGTGGCTATGTACACATCATTAAACTCTCTACGTAATGGTGGAGGAATAACATCTCTCAAACCAATTACCTGTTATACAAACACACATTTCAATCACAACAATGTAGACAACGCTTTTCTATTCTATAAATCGGGACTTCAATAATTTTCACTATAGGGAAACCTTAAAGCCGTACCAACAGAAACCAACTAAGTATTCACTGGTTAAGTTAAATTAAATTCAATGACATGAAGAGCAAAAGTTTAGAACCAAATATCAGTTCCATGTCATCATGTGTTCCACAAATTAGGAAGTCACGGTCAATCTACAGGGAGGCGACTTGCCCTATTAAATCCATACCAAGGTGTCACCACTCACATGTATTTTACGGACATTTTATGTTTCTACAACTTTTGGTAAAAAGTTAAAAGAAATCTCATAAAATATTGGTTTTAATTTCTTTTCTACCTTATAAAATGTCAACTACTAATATAGCATAATTGGTATAATTTTGAAGATACTTATTGTAAAAGTCAACAAGTATATCGTATCATGTTCTATTTGGCACGATTTTAATGAGTTTAATTTCCATATACTATTATTTTGTACCAAAAATGTCCACTAATCAGGAAACACAATTGATAGGATTGTTCAGAGAAATCATTATAAAGTGAATAAATTTATCATGTTAATTTGTAACTGTAGATATCAGAATAATCCTAAGTCCATATGCTATTTGCTCAATTTTAATTGATTTATAAATGAATTTCAGTTACAATACGTGGCACGATAAAAACAGTGAAACAAAATTCACCAACTTGTACAATATGGTGATGTGATATATCTGTAAGTCAAACTCCACAAAGGAGAGATCGATCACTCACATTTTCATGATCCAAATGTTTAAGAAGCTTAATCTCACGGAGCGTTCGCTTAGCGTCCATGTGGTTATCAAAAGCGTTCGCTATCTTCTTAACAGCCACCAGCTCATTCGTCTCCGTATTCAACAGCGAGCTTCAAAAATCACATCAACAAACTATTCAGCTATCGTAATCTCACAAAAAAAATAAAAACCGTCAAAATCAAACACTCAAGAACTTGCTAACGCTCAATCACAACCAAATTTGATTCATACAATCAGAAAAAAAACACACAATCTCTCAATTAAACGTATCGCGTTTCCGAAAACACAATAAGTCGAAGAATACGAAGCACTACCAAACGATTCCGTACGCGCCGCGGCCAATAGGCATGATCGGAGGACGGTACTTCGTCGTAACCTCGAAGTGGTTGCCGAATATGTTGTACTGAATAAACTGTCCACCGTGTGTCTGAACCGCCGGAAAATCGGCGACACCGTTCGGATTAACTCCGGCCATCACTTTGTCTCTCAAGAAAACTTTCTCTCTCTATCGAACTTTCTCTCTCTAGAAACCGTCAAATAAGAAAAGGATGAAGATGGAAAGTGGAAGAAGCGAGTGGAGAGGTTTTAACTTAAATAGTGTACACGATAGCGAGCGAGTCAGTCACCGAGTCAGTGTGTGCGTGCGTACGTGTGATTATTTTCACTCGGTCAACTCGGCTAGGTAAGCACGTTGAGTCTTCACACTCTTTCGGAGCAGGTGCCAGGAAGACGGTGCGAAAACGCGCCATGAGAAAAAAAAAATTAACGGAACGAACCACACGCGCACACGTGTGACGCGTTCGGGACTCCATCGAACGGCTTAGGTTTCAGCCGCCCCTGATCTACGGCCACCATTCGTTCAATTATTTCAACAGCCATCAACCTTTCTTTCTTCTTCTATTATTACCTGATTTGTATTGTATGGTCTTCAAAGCCACCTCGTGGATTTTATATTAAAGATTTAAATAAATAAATAAATATATAAATATAAACATATATCTAATATCTAATGATATCCTAAGCTAGAAGAAACTGAATAATTGAGTCAGAATAGTGTAACTATTATGTGCCTATGTCTACATATAATATAACTAATAAAATTATTTGATTCCCCTGTTTGGGCTTTAGGACCCTCTAAATTATTTTTTTACTTAAGCATAATTAATTGCGCAAATAATTGATTAGGTTAATAATGATTTCTATTATTTGTTAATCTATCACTAACTACTAGGTTTATATCATCCTAGTGCCGATATTATTATTATTAGACAGAGTCGTGACAGTGACAAAACCAACAAGTCCAATGCTTTTAGGTTTCGTTTAAGTTCTTCGTTTTTTGTATTTATTTTTTTAATTTAAAGTTGAATTATAAGATAACATTTTTTATTATATATTTTTTTTATGGTCATACACCATCCTCTTTATGCTAAATATCTGACCCAGCTAAAATAGTTATCAGCACGTCAACATGTTGAGGGGGATGGCATAGTAAATACATCCCAAAACCTAAGCGAGTTTTTAGATGAGAGATGACTACATAAACAAGAAATAACATATTAAATGTGTACTATCCCATTCCTTATTAAAACATGTTCATTTGTTAGTAAAATGATACATTTGGAAAATAATTATCTGCATAGATATTTTTGTAGACTATTGAAAAAATTTACTACTCATTCAAAAATTGTAGAAAAAATAGTTTAGAGTTACTGTCAATTCAAATTAAAAGATACACTCAAATAAAATTGTATTTAAAAAGTTGTGGGAAAATTGTTTAAATTTATTTTGAATTAAAAAAAAATACATTTAAATTAATGTAGAAATTAAATTTTACAAATTATAATGAAAAATGTGCGGGGTGCTGGTGGCCATTTAAACAATACACAACTTATACCTCCCTGCGTTCCGCTAAAAGAAAATTTATTGAATGATGGTATGATTTTTTTATTTTTTTTTACATTATTAGTATATTTTATTTTAATCCGCACTTTTACTGCGTTAACATTTTTTTTATTTAATTATGGTTGCATCACTTATACTGTAAATCTAAATTTATGTTTTTATTGTTAATTAAAAATAACAATTTATATATTTAGACTTAATTATCCCTGATTTGTGATAAAAATAAATACATAAAATCTCTTTCAGGCTATTGTTCTTCAATCTTACATCAACGAAGAATATTCCCGAATCTCCTTTGAAGTTATTGTTCTGGGCCCTCGACATGATATTTAAATTAACCCTATAATCTCAGTTTTAATAAATAATTAAAAAAATAGAATATTTGATTAACATTTTATGCTTAAATAAAGAGACTACATTTACGCGGAAATTCTTATGTTAAAAATATAAATAGACCATATTCTACACAAAACACAAGAAAATGACTTGATTAAAATTTATTACGGTGAAAAACACTTCATCAAGTTTAGACCTTCAACTTAATATGTATGCTACTTTAAAAATATATATTTATTTAATTTTAAATATTAAAAAAATAATAGTTAAATTGGCTTTTTCTAAAATTGAACTTATTGTCAATTTTAATTACACAGATTTTTTAAATTATTTTATATTAAAACAATTGTTTGTATGAAGCTCAAAACAGAATCAATAACTTCACAGTAAAAAGTTTAATGAAAACTTAATGAACCTTTCTAATGTTTGTTGGGTTTTTTATTTCCAAGTATAATCGAATGATTTGATTAGCAAATTTGTTTTAAAATTTTGAAAAGTTACAATTTCTAAATATTTCATGTTTAAAATGAAATATAATTCTATAAAAAATTAAAAATATAAATTTCACATTATTTTAAAGGATAAGTTTATACATTTTTTAATACGATTTTGGAAATATTATTTACATCGCATTTATTTTCAAATATACAATATTTTTTCTGGAAGTTTCAAGTATACACTATTCTATTCTTCATTTAAAAATTATAATTTTTTTAAGAAATATTGATTGATAACACTTAGATGAAGAATCAAAGTTTAATTTGAGCAGATTTATTGTAAACAAGCTATTTAATTAATTCATTGGTCCTTCTAGTATTGGAAGGGCCAACTTAGTGTATTGCAATATAATTATGATAAAATGTAATATAAGAATCCTTCTGGTTAAAAAAATGAAATCATATGGCTGAATAACCTTCGATCATCTCCATTCAAGTGTTTTTATCCTAAAAAGATTAAATTAAAAGTAAAAACAATAATCTAAAAAGTAATAAAATATTACATATTAGCAGTCCCATTTTCATTAATTAAGAATCATTCCAAAGCTTTATATTGATCAATTGCTTTCTTTGTATACACAATAAGATATCATAGTCATTACTATATAACTGTGAAATCATTAGTATAGGATCTTTCTTAATTTAAATAAAAAGTTCGATATAAACAATCCCCCTCACCATCAAATCACTTAGTGGGAGCTGCTCACAAGTATATTACCCAAGAACTGCGAACCCGTGAACAGCCACACAAAACACGATATAAGACACTCGATAATTATAATTGTAAAGCAAAACACGATAATTATAATCAGAAATCGCAATAGCTATAAGTCGGCAAGATCAAAGTGATGTCCCAATGAGTTCACCCATTAAAGCTTAACAATGTTATTTAACAAAAGGATACACTACAAAGAAAAACAACCCAACTTGCCAATAGTGAAATCACGTCCAGCACAATGCATCCCCACATTGACGTTAAAAACCATGTCCATAAATCTCCAACCCCAGGCCCCTAAATGTTTAATTAGGCTTCAGCAAACCTGCGGGAAATATCATGAAACCCATGAAAACCCAATTGAGAACACAGAACTTGGACTACTGAAGTCAATTGACAAAGATCTGAGAAATATCAAGACTTACCCAAGCTCGGAAAGCTTTTGGTGAGCCACGGCGTAATCAGCGAAGAAGGCATCTTCGTCCTGAAATTGTCCCAAATTCAAGATTAGCTATACTTCCTTCATTAATTTCATCATTAATATTCAGCATTTTAAAAATCAATGCCTTGTGAAAAAGAAGATTGGGAAATATACTCACAGCAGCATATTTTTCAACCAGAGGGCGGAATACAGGGTCAGACAAAAGTGCCTTGTCAGAAGGCAGCTGAAGGAGGCCTTCCTTCTCACCACTCAACAACTCCCTAAAACATTTATGAACAACAACACAATTAGAAGTTAAAGCTTAAAGAGAACAAGAAAAAGGCTAGTCTATATATAAAAGGCAATGCCAGAGACTCCGAGAAACTAACTTAAAGTATGAGTTATCAAAAACATGAGGGTTTGAGGTCCAGGGGCCCTCAAATCCAGAACGCTCCTTGTGTGCCGATCCCTGCAAAATATACTTGTTAGAACTGGACCAATATGACTTCAATCTTAGATCTTCATCCTTTTTTTCCGAACAATCATAGCCGTGACATCAATAATGTGGCTCAGTTAACACTCAAAACGAAACACAAGTTCAAAATAATTACATACAAGTGTGTGACCACCGGACAGAGCAACAATATCTTGATCACTAAGTCCCATAGCCTTGCCGAACACATCCCTCAAGTGATCAGATCCTGCAACCATCAAGAACCCAAACATAAGAAACATAAACAATCAATCATAAACATTTATTAACAATCAAACCAACAGAGTACCGACCCTTGGTCGCATCAGGCAAGCGACCCTCTGGGGGTGGCTCGGGCTTGTCCTGATCAAATGAAAACGGTACAGTTAGCCTTCTAATAAATAAATCAAAACATTACTCTGTCAAAAGAATACCAAACCAAATTTGGATGCAAAATAGGGTGAAAAATAATGAAAAAAAGGTATGTCAGAGAATCATAAATCGGTCAACCATGCACATAATTGTTGTAATTCAAAGAAACAAATCCAGTACAATCAAATTTATATGCACAGTGTCACACATAAAATATAAAATTGAATGTAGGTATAAACCAATTCATATGCACAAATAAAATTTACACAACAACCCAAGTTTAACATAACTATAGTTTACACTGCAAACACCAATAGTAATTTCAGTAAAATAGAATAGATAGTATCATTTTACTGCATAAAATATATTAAATATCTTATAACTAAATAATAATAAAATAAAATAGAGACAATAATGAACAACTAAAATATGCAATGTCATACCTCTCTCCCAGGGTGGAAAGGAATTTCAGGTCCACCAGTTACCTCAACTGCAACAACTCCAGCCAACTGCGTTTTCATAAGCACACGACATCCAAGAAATTAACACAATTTTATCAGATCCACAAACATGAAAAAAGAAAAAATCCCGATCAATGAATTCTTACCTGGTAGAAATCTGCATGGCTCAAGATAGGGAACTCCGCCTTAAGAGGCTCCAAAAGCCTAACGGCGATATCAAGACCGTTGTTGGCACCGTGCGCGAGCTCTGAAGGATGCTTGATGGTTCCAAAGGGGCCACCAGTCTTCGTGCTCACGTCGTAGGTACCAGCAGAGTGCCATCTGCACACAAAACACACCAAAAGGTGTCAAAACAACTGTATACAAACTCATGCATACAGACTCATACGATCTAACATAAAAAAGACATAGCATACGCCAAACGGAGCATTAGAGGAGCGCATTTCTTATCGGCAATGAAGCCTCTAAGCTTTCTCCTGGCCTTCTCAACGGCCTTCTGGTATTCCGCGCTCACGGTTGGGTAAGACTTTCCCATGACTTACAATTCTGAATAAAAATTGAAAATCAGTCAATCAAATGGCCGCATGAACAGCTAGAATGTGGATCATGAAGAGAATAGGCTATTAGTGTAAAATTTGAGTAAAGAATTCATGGAACCAAACCTTAGAATCAGAGAGGAGAAGACAAAAAGTTAACCCTAGTGACACGAGCAGAGCACAAGCCTCAGTGAATGAATTGGCTGAGAGAGGGGGAAGGTAGATATAATGGGGAGAAGAGAAGAAAGTTCTAGTAGGCGATTGTGAGTCGTTGGATTCTTTTGATCGTGCGGATTTTGTTGATTTTAGAAATTAACGGCTTAGATGGATTTTCACGTGTAACTTACAGGGGTAGGTGGGAGAAGTTTTTATGACTGGCTAGTGTGGAGAGGATATCGAGAGGTCATGCATTGGATTTTAATCGTATATTGTTGTAACTGAGATTGTCCTTAATCACATCCATCCAAATTATTTTATTACATAATAAATTGATGTTTTAATTTATATTTTATTCAATACAATGGTAAGATGTGTAAGTGCAGTGTGCTGCTTCTTTGGAAACTGCAGAGGATTAGGTTCGGCTACATTATTGCTTAAAAAGAAGGAGTGAGAACGGAGTTTAGGGCGTTATGTCATGAACCATTTTGACTATACAATTTTAGGGGGCAAATGACTAATGCACCCTGGTTGAAAGGAATAGCACACATTTGGTGAAATGGCGTGTGCGATCCACGTTGTATATTCTGAAAGGCATGATTTGCACCTTCTAGAAAATTAGAGAAGTAAGATTTTATTTGCATTTTTTTTTTTAATCTTATTTTTAGTTTTTATATATTTTTAATGTTAACAATATTTGATTTATTGTTCTAAAATTTATAAATAAATTAAATTTATAAAATATATTATTTAATTATTTTTTATATATTTAATATTTTAATAATATCATAAACTTTTTAAAAAATATTAAATTCATATTTGTTAGATTTAATAATTAATTAATCAACTTTTTAAACATAAAATAAAACATATTTAATCCTATAAAATTATATACTACCCATTAAACGTTGAATATAATGTTCAATACTGAACATATTTTAAAAGAATAAAAACTATGTATAATAAAAGACTAAATAAAATGTTTTAAATAATTATTTAAAATTTATTATGTTTTATAGTAATTAGTAGTAATAAATTAATGATTAAAGAGACTTGTAATATTAAATATTACTAAATTTTAAAGTTCTTACCTAATTTTAAATTAAATAATAAAAATAATTATACCTAAATTCATAAACAACATGCTAATTCAAGCTTGCAAGGGTGTTTTCGTAATCGAACATCAAATATATCAACAGAGGGGGTAAAGTAGTGTGGCTGAACTAATAAAAAATATTCATACTCCACAGTGTGAACGCGTTCCACTTCAGAAGATTCCATATTGGGCAATATTAATGTTACCGGAGAGGCATAGTCACTTCCATACTCCTTCCTTTGCTCAGATGATGTGATTGCTTTGTACGTGTATACATATGTCTGACTTTGTGCTGTCCAAGTTAGTTGTATGCATTAATGTAATTGCAAGACTCAAACTAAGGTAATTATAAAACTCAACAAAGTTAGACATGAGTTATTTGTTGAAGAAACCATGTGATCCTGAAATAACTTTGTATTTTATATATAAATCTAATATTTCATAGAAGTGTTTATGAATTGTTTTTAATATTCGATATTTTTTATATTATAACATCCAAAAAGATAAGGTGTCGTGTTATCACTCGGACTCGGATGTAGATATAGTAAATGAGAATAATTGTGATTCTCACCTCATTTTATATTTTGATGAGCATTTTATAGATAGTTCTGTATAAAGAATTATAATTGATATTCAATATTTTTTTAATTAACACTTTTATTATTGTAGTCTATATTAAGAATTATAGTTGATGTTCAATAATTAATTTGCATTTAACTCGCTTTTGTTTGGCACCTTAAATAAATTTTAAAATAGACTTAAATTAAATTGGGATTAAAAATTAATGAAATTCAAACTAGTAAGAATTTAATAATTTTCCTATACTAATAAAAAAATTAGTTTAGTTTTAATCTATTGACAAAAAAAATTGTATTTGAATATTAAAAAAATATTTAATTTTTAATTAATATCGTATTTATGAATAAGAATATATATATATATATATATATATATATATATATATATATATATATTCAATTAACTCAAATGAGTTTTATTATGGGATTAATTATTGAAAAAAATTATATTATACATTCCTTTTAAAATGTATTAAAAATAAATCACAATTGAACTTGGTATAATAACACTTAGTTAAGGCTTTTAAATAATTTTAACAATTATAATTTAATGGGTCAAAGTGGTGGAAAAATTATTTTAGTATTTAGGTTGTTCACAAACTATCTTGATGTAAGCACTTTTAAGATTGTAAGGTTTTTATATATTAGAGGATAATTTGAATTTTTGTGTATTTGATAGTTATTCAATCTGAGTTTTTTTTTTTAGAAAGAATGATAAATTTGTCAAATTTTGTTTTCACTACAAGGTTTGAAGTAAATTTCTTGTAGGAATATTTTTAGAATGACTTTAGTGGGTGATTTGGTTCTTAACTCTAGTTCTATTTGGATTATTAGTTTTTTTTTTTTTTTTATATTGGGTTTGAACTTTGACAAATTGGTTAAATTATTATAGTCAAGGGTTTTGAGTGAGAATATGATCCTCAAAATCAAAATATGTAATGCGTTTGTTTGTTTGTTTGTTAGGGATTGTTGGATGCTTGTTTATATATCCATAGACAGTTTAATAATCTTATTCAAAAGTTTAAAAAATAAATATAAAGTAAAAAGCATGCAAGGTATAAAATAATATGTGGATATTTTTTTTATTGAAATCTTCGTGTGTACCTGCCTATGTGAATATTTTTTTTATTGAAATCTTATCCACTCTTTTAATTAACATTTTTATTATTATAGTTTATAGTCTATGAATAGTTTATTGACACTGCTTAGTTTTTATTCTCCAAGACTTAAAAATTATTTTTTTATATTGGATTTTAGATTTTTTTTTCATCTTAATCTATTCGCATTTTATATCGTTTATAAAAAATAATTATATATAAATTATTATTATAGTTATTTTATTTATTATTATTTCTGATATATAAATAAATATTTGTAGTTTTATATTTTTTAAGTTATTATTATTGATTTAATATATATTTTAATTTATTATATTTATATTAAAAGTATGTATATATTAAAAAATTGTTTTTCTTCATCGTATAAATATGAATTACTCAAAAAAATATTATTATTATTATTATTATTATATTTTATAATATTATTACATATATAAATTAATTATTTTTAAATTTCTTATTTTAAAATGTTAATAAGAATAAAATATATAATTTATAAAAAATTAAGTAATAAAATAATTCTTATTAAATTAATATAAACTAATAATTTTTTTCAATTATACTCTTTTAAATTTGTCAATTCTTTAAAATATAATTATTTGATTGATATAAAATTTTATTTCAAATAAATAAGAATAACAGAGTTAAGAAAACATGACATGAAACTTAAGAAAGATAAATTATAAGTAACAATATTTAAATAAATATATAGAAACAAAATATTTAACCTATATTTATTAATATGATTAAAGAAATTAAGGAAATATAGAAAAGTAAAAGATAAAAAAAAGTATTTCGAACTTATTAAAAGATTGAGAAAAACAAAAGAGCGAAGAATAAGTAAGACAAAAGTGAAAATTGTAGAATAGAGAATAAACTAATATTTTGTATAACATGAGAAAGAAAAAGGTATTTCAGAGGTTAATATTTTAATATTTACGTATAAATATCAAGTTGGACGTGAATAAGGTATGGAAAAACTTAGAACCCAAACTTATATTTGATAAACTTAATTTTTCTTCCTCAACTTGAATATAAGGGCGGAATGGTTTCCATACATGTGAGTTTAATTTTCATTCTTAATTATTGATTGAAATTTTTTTATATTATTATTTAATTATAAAATACTTTAAATATGATTTTTAGTTACCCATTTAAGTTTAGATAATCTATGTAAATTAAGTTGAATTAATAGTTCTACATGTGAAAAGTTGTTCGACATCTCTACTATCCGTTCAACACTTTTATAAATCGGTTCAATGGATTACCTTGTCGCTTTATACTTTTCAAAAATCACTCAGAAGAATTTTAGGTTATTCAACATTTAATCAAATCATATGTATAAATTATTGTCATTCTACACATCATACATTTTTTGTTCTCTACACATTGTTTTTGTCATCATGAGTATTTCAACATTGTGATTAACAAGATACAAATGAAAAATTATACCTGGAAACCATCAAATACAAGAAAAAGAAAATCAGAATTCCCATGTGATAAATCAAGTTCTTTGTTTTCTCAAGTGTTTGATCTTAAATTTGAAATAAGAAGGCTTCCAATAATGTTTGTAAAACGCAAGGAAGTACTCTCTTAAAAGTGGGCAAAATATTTTTGAAAGATGGATCAAAATGACATGTTAAAAGATTAAGAAATAAGAGAGTTATATAAAATTGAATTATCAGTTTTAACACATTAAAAAGTGTTTTAACACATTAAAAAGTGTTTTAACATATTAAAATAGAATAAAAACTCGAAAAGACTTTAAGTGATTTTAATAGATTGAAATGTATTTTAACAAATTAAAAGAAAATGACTAAAAATGTTATTTAAAAACCTTAAGTGATTTTAATGGATTATAATGCATTTTAATAGATTAAAACATGAAGGTTTGACCATAACTTTATTCTATTAAAAACTCTTAATAGATTAAAACAAAATGATTCAAATTTATTTAAAAGAACTAAAACATTTTAATAAGTTAAGAACACATTTTAACATATTAATACAAAACCTTCAAAATAACTTTAAGGATTTAAGTGATTTTAATC